ACATGAACCTTAATGCAAACTTTCGGATCAAACAAGGTTTTTCTTCAAGAATACATGAAAACCATTTTCTCTTTCTAAAACCAACTTTAAATCAATGCATGACATGTAGAATAGGTTTGATCGTGCAATGCAGCTAAGTGATCAATAAGAACAACAAGAGTAGGTTAAGATTCTAACCTCAAAACTCGAATCTAACGGTTCAAACTCCAACGATCAAGCTTGAAAGTTCACTCTCTTACTCAAAGGCTCCACCCTCTTCTTCCTAGAGTCTCTCTCTCTAAAAGGCAAGATTTGATACAAAATGATATGTTTCTCTTGACAGTCACCGACTTAATCCCTCTGTTGGGACAAGTGGCATCGGCTGGTTGGCTCTACTAAAAAAGGTAACTGACTGACAAGACAAGACCATGACAAAATGTATTCAACAAGCTAGACGGCAAGAGCACTCCGGCAAGTGATGATCTCGGCTAAGGGAAAGCTTCGGCAAGTAGGGTGACAACGACATCGACTTGGAAGGACAACACTTGACTAAGCTATGCCACACCTTGGCCTAGATGTGCCACACCTCGGTCTAGGTCATACCATTCCAGGAACAAAATCACTAAGTGCAAGGATAAACATCTCGGCCTAGATAGCGACATCTCGGCAATTATGCTAGGGTGGAGATGGAGGTCAACAGAAGTGGTTCCAGGATAGTTCTAAGTGTAAAAGGGGTTCAAATGTGGCTGGGCTAAGGATGACCTCGGCAACACCCCAGGCAAGAACAAAGTATGCAAGCAATACTCAAGCAAAGCAAGACAAGATTTGCAAATGCACATAACAAAACAAGATCATACATAAATGTATGCAAGTATGACTAAGTTGAAGTGAGGATTGTTATAACTCTGTAGCAGTACAGACCTTTTGGGATAATAAATGCAGTCTTCTCCTCATCTGGAGGATACATGGCTATCTGATGGTATCCCCTGTAGGCATCCAGGAAGCTTATCCTTCCATGCTCCGAAGTGGCGTCTACTAGCTGGTCAATCTTGGGTAGAGGAAAACTGTCCTTGTGACAGGCTTTGTTCAGGCTGGTAAAGTCCACGCAAACCCTCCATTTACTGTTCTTTTTCTTCACCACCACTGTGTTTGATAGCCATGTCGGGTAATTTACCTCTCGAATGGCTCTGACCTCCAGAAGTCTGTCTACTTCCTCTTCCACTGCTTTGACGTGTATCAACGTTGGTCTTCTTGCTCGTTGGATCACTGGTTTTGCCGACCTATCAACATTCAGTTTATGGCAAGTGACCTCGGGGTCAATGCCAGGCATCTCATAAGGTGTCCAAGCAAACACCTCAATATTTGCTCTCAAAAAAGCTTCCAACTCTTTTTCTTCTTCTTCGTCTAAGCCCGAGCCGAGAAAAAAGAAGCGTTCTTCATCCCCCTCCTAGACGAGGATTTTCTTCAGTGCTTCTTCACTCTTCTCGACTGGCTTCTTGCCAACATCCTCTAAGACCTCCACGTCTTCATCTTCGACCTCTGCCTTCTCTGGTTCTCTTATGTTGCAGGTGGATTTCATTGCTATTATGGAGCAGTTTTTTGCCTGCAGCTGATCTCCTCAATCCCATGTTCTGTTGGGAACTGCAATAGTTGATGTAAAGTTGAGGGAACAACCCTCATTGCATGCAACCATGGTCTTCCCAAAATGATGTTGTAAGGGGAGGGTGTGTCAATTATGATGAACTCTGTTGTTATCTTCCTGGTGCCTGCCTGCACCTCCAAAATGGTTGTTCCTAGTGGCCATGTTGGCGTTCCATTGAACCCGACCATTGGGCTATTGGATTGCTCCATATCGTATGGGTGAAGGCCAAGCTCCTTGTAACATCAGACGTACATGATGTCACAAGAGCTGCCTTGGTCAATCAGGATGCACCTTACTTGGCATTCCCCGACCTGGAGGAATACTACCAAGGCATCATTATGCGGGTGCTGCACCATCTCAAGGTCGGCTTCAGAAAAGGACACTACTGGTCCTTGGCACTCCTCTGCCCGATGTCTCTTCTCCCCGACTTGGTAGACATGCTGTAAGTGCTTCACTTTCTGGGTCTCCTCCCTGATCTCGTTTTCGCTGACCTTCGAGTGAATGACACTAATTACCTGAGGTCCTCCTGCTTGAGGTTGCTGTGCTGGGAGAGGTGGAGCTACTGTCGCTTGAGGCAATCTTGCCTGTTCTTCCCTTGTTCTGGCCTCATCGACAAAGTCTCTCAGATAGCCTTGTCTCACCAAGTCTTCCAAGTGTGTTTTCAAGGCTCTACAGCCTTGAGTCATATGCCTGTTTTCATTGTGGTAAGCACAATGCCTGCTAAGGTTTCTTCTCATGAATTCTCCTGGTGCCTTTGCTGGTGTTCTGAAATAGGGTTGATTTCGAATTTGATCCAGGTCTTTGTGAATTGGGATTCGGAACACAGTTGTCACTGCCTGTGTAGCCCTCAGTTCTATCTCTTGCTTGCTCAATCCATTGTTAACTCGGCCTCGCTTCGGCAAGCCGTTTTCCTTTTCTTGCTTTGTCTCCCTAGTCCCCGATGTATCTTCCTCGGCTCTGGCATACATCTCAATCCTCGACATGAGCTCTTCCATGCTTTTTGACAAT